ACGGACCCGGAAACTCTCACTACGCTCCTGCAGTGGGAGAAGCAGCGCGCCGACCGCGCGCTCGAGCAGGTCCAGTTCCTTGAGACCGAGTGCCAGCTGAAGATCTGCTCTGCCGCCAAGGCCCTCCGCCGCGCCAGCGCCGACCGCAAGCGCCACAGCATTCTAAAGATGGCGGATCCCAGCGACCCGATGATTCTTAGTGAGAGTCGACGGACTTCCCTGGAGCCCAGCAGCCGACCCACACCTAGGCGGTCGAAGACGGACATGCTCCGGGCCGACAAGGAGCCGCGCCGGAGCACCATCTTCCTCGCAGCCGAGGGCATCTTCCGGACGGTCTCACAAGCTGAGGCGGATGCTCATGCCGCCAAGTCGCGGACCACCTCGTCAGCACCATCTCCGACAGAACCCAACATGCCCATCACCCCAACCGACAGCGACCCCATGTACCGCCGCACCCCCTCCGTCGACCCCTGACTTCGCCATGCTCTCCAAGGAGCGCACCTCCCTCCTCTCCCTACTCGACGCCCCACACCGCCAGGACCCAACCCCATCTTCAACATCCCCACTACCCTGGCCCCGAACCGACCACCACCAACCAGCCAGATGAAATGGACATCGACCCGCCCACCAACCCCGACCCCTCCCACCCTCACAACCATCACCAACACCTCCACCCCAAATCCCACCACCATCCATCACCCAACTCTCACAACAACCATAACCACAAAAATCCCCCTCCGCCCCGAACCAACCGACTCCGACCCGCCGACCCTCGCCCAGCGCCTCATGAAGATCCAGCGCACTCCTCCCGTCAAACGGGCGACAACAACCGGGATGGTGAGGGAGGAGAGGAGAATAATGCAGCAGAAGGGCCGAGCTTTGATATCAATAACCCGGCGTTGACGCCTACTATGACGCGGGAGGAGGCGCTGGCCCAGATTAGGGAGAGGAGGGGGAGGGCGAGGAGTGTAGGAAGGGTTGGAAGTGGGGGGACAGGGCTAGTGCTGGGAGTGCGAGTGGAGTGGACGGAGCAGGGAATGGGCATGGGAATAGTGGGAGTGCGGGTGTAGAGAAAAGGGGCAGTGCGGGAGTAATGGCGAGGTACCAGTGAAGAGGAAGGTTAGTGGGGAGTTGGGGTGCTGGTGCTGCTGCTAGTGCTGCGAGCGGGAGGGCGAGTGCGATGAGTGGAAGGACGAGTGCGATGAGCGGGAGGACAAGCACACAGGAGGTGAGGAGGAAGGTTAGCAATAATGACTTGTCAAGGGGAAGGGAGGCCACTCGCAGGGAGGTTAGTGCCCCTACGGTGGCGGCGGGTGGGAGGTCAGCTGTCAGGGGGGTGTCGGCTGTTAGGAGGATTAGGTCGTGATTTTGAAGGCGGAGAGAGGGGGTCGGTTGTTGAGTCGTTGTTGGATTTGAGGAGGGTGCCTTTTGTTAGGGTTTCTGTTGGGGTTGTTGTTGGTTTGATTGTTTGGCTAAGAGAGGAAAGAAGGAGCACATACCCTGGATGATTGAGGGCAGATTGGCTGGATAGGGGTGTTTATTGTTTCGTTGGCTCCATTTGTCGTTGGACATGGTGTATCAGGGCTGCTCACAAAGGAGCTGCTCTCGGATTGTTTGGCTTGTGTTATTTCGCGCTGGTCCAGGGCATCACAGCGGCGTTGGCGGTTTGCTGACCTGCATACTACGGTCTGGATCGGATTGGGGCGGCTGGCCTCTTGTCTTTTGTGATATCATCCTGCATTGGACAGCGAGGGCGTTCGTCTTTTTGGTCGGAGGCACTACTACTCTCTTTATCTCACTCTGTCTCCTGTCTCTTTCCTTTTCTTTCACGTACATAATACGGAATCGAAAGTTAAATATCCTTGTTGCAGCTCAATGACGTTCAAGTATACCGGTTTAGGTTACATGGTGACAATGAAGAAAAGTCCCTTTGGTCATCGGTTGTTTCGGTTTTTATCATCGAATCATATAGTTACCGAGGTCTTAGAACAAGCAGGGTTTATTCTGTTGATATGCATTTCCGTATGATTACCAGAGAACTGCCCGAGACAGTAATCAGGAAATCATGTGTTTGATAAAAGTACCCTGTAATTAACCCCATATCAGAGCTAATCCTCGCGCGCTGGCTTTTGGTGTCATATCTATGCCACGCAAGCGACGATGCTTCAGTGAAGTGGCTTCTGGTAAACAATTACTCCATAATTACTACAAACTGAACCCACCAAAAAATGTATTCATCTTCAAGATCTTTCCTCCAAATCAAACGCCAACACCATAATTCGTTACAAGACAATAAAGAGGCAGCTAATACAATGTGTGCTTGTCATCATCATTCATTCATTCATTTCCGCAAACCCACCAACCCCAAACCCAATACCTCCCTTCCCCTTCCGCTTCCCCGCTTCCTCCTCCTCACCCGCTCCTTCGCCCACCCCATCCCCATTCAACCCCTAAAAGATCCTTTCCCATTCCCACTCCCCCACCACCGCCACCCCCAAACCACCCCTCCCCAAAACGGACCCAGGTTTAGACCCCAACCCCGACAACCCCCACTCACACTCATAGCCCTCGAGTTCCGTCCCATCATTCTCTGATTCCTCCTCGGTCCCGTAGGCTGCTGTGCCTTTTCCTCGAGCTTGCCGGCCGCCAGTTGAGGGCTGTGACCATGTACCCTGGCACAAGGGTCTCGAGGTCCGGGGAGGAGCGGTTGTAAATTGCGGGCCAGATTACGAGCGCGTCTGCTAGGGGTTCGTGAGGATGTTGGGGTTGGGGTTGGGGTGGTGGGGGTTTCTTCCCGCTGATTGTGGGGATTGTGCCGTTGGTCTTGAGTTTCGTGGGTGTTGGGAGGGAGGTGGGTTGTGGGATGGGGAAGAGGGGTTTCCAGAAGGTGGGTTCTTCTTCTTCGAAGCTGAAGTCGAGGTCGAGTTTGCTGTCGAGGTGTTGGATGAAGGACCAATGGGAGCAGGTTTCTTCGCAAAAGGTGTGGAGATTGGATTGGAAGGTGTCTTTGGTTTTGTCGTCTGGAAGGAGGTCGATGACGGCGTCGGAGACGTTCTTGACCACGGCGTGGATGTGGCTTTTGACGACTTTGTTGTCCTCGTCGGCAGTCCATTTGGCTAGTCGCAGAAGAACGGACCGGATGTGGGCTTCGTGCTCTGAGTCCTCGTTGACGAGCTTGTTTACCACTTCGTTGAGTTCGTTGAGGCCAGCTGCGTTCCTGAGGAGGTAGACTGGTTGGAAGATGTGATGTTTCATCTCATGGGCAAGGATAGAGAGAAAGGCGCTGGTTCGCATCTGCTTGGCAACGTTTGTGTTGTCGATGGGAATTGGGATGCTCTTGACGGCAGGATGGTTCTTGATGTTGCCCCACAACGCGCCGTTCAAGACGGTCTTGGGGTCCAGGTCAATGCCGAAGTAGGTCTCAGCCAGGTTGCGGGCAGAAAGAAACAGTTTTCCGAGCCGGGAAGTTCTGCCGTCCATCCTTTTTTAGCTTGTATCAGGATTGCAAGGACAAAAAGGGTTAATACTGACATCTCGTTCAGGTTTGCTGAGACTGGCTTCAGCCCGACGGAATACTCTTCCAACTCCTCCAGTCTTTCTTGCTCAAACCCAAGGCGTTTCTTCAGATCCTCCACTTCCTTTGCCAGCTCTGTCTCCCTGCTGGCCAACGCCTTCTGCTTCTCCTCAATTTTTCGTTGAGCTTCCTTGAGCATCACTGTGAGATCGTCTTTCTCATTCCCTACTCTCAGCAGCTCGGATGCTGTGTCGTTGTGGAGCTTCTCTACCCTGTCGAGCTTAGCCTGGAAGCTTGCCGTCTGCCTGCACTGACTCTCGATATCTGCCTCGAGGATTTGGTTCTTGTTCCTAAGCGAGTTGTTTTCCTCATAGACGGCCAGGAAACTTTGGATGTCAGGGGTTTTTAGCTGCCCCATCACTGCCTGTATGAGGCTCACCACCTTCTCTGCCATTGCGTAGTCGGTGGATGGGCTTGCCATTACTGGAGAGCCAAGGGAAGTTGTGTTGCTGTTGCGTGTTGAGGCTGGACAGATAGCCAAAAAAAAGGGGAGGAAGGGTGGACGGGACAGAAATCAGTAGAAAAGCAAACCGAGCAGCTCCGGTTACCCTTTAATCCCCTTGGCTCTTAGCGACTGCCAGAACAATCCCTCCACTATGCAACCTATCCAAGCTGTCCGCCCCCTTAGATACCACGAGCATTTCATCCAACAATGGGCTTGTACTCCCCACCCATCAGGCAAAAAGCGAGCGGGCCGTCGCATCGGCCAGTCATCTACGGGTACTACCTGCACGAAGCCTCAGTGCAGTGATTGGCGGGCAGAACGTTGACTCCATTGAGTGAATTGGAGTTGGGGCTGCCATTAACTAGACGATCTGCCAGTTTCCGGTCAACCCCACGGCCTACCGCGGGGCCACAGCATGGAGGTGGTTGCCTGAGGACCGTCGTGGGCCAGTCTGGTGTCAAGCACATCCTCCATCATCAATGCAGCTGATGTTTCAATGCCGTGATGTGCTGCCAATCAGGCTCTGCAACGTTTCTGGGTAGGCAGCCAGTTCCATGCTGCCGGGACAAACAGCAGCGCTCGAAATGGTTGTCGCGGTAGCCTCCCGGTGACAGCTCAGGAAACGAAGTGTCGATAGCATCTCAGCAAGGTTATAACCTGATGTTCTTAATTATCAAATGAAATGTGACAACTTATACGCCTCGGATGTTGAGCGATGAGCCGCGGACATCTAGGTCGGAATAGGGTGTGCCCAAGTGTGAGTGACAGCCTTCTCCAACCTTGACTTCAACGTCAAGTGTTCAAAACCAGAGTCTGATCGGCAGCTCATCCATTTTGGGACTTCAGGTAGAGTTGGAGAAGGGTTGTGTTGGGGAAGGAGGAAGGAGAAGGGTGTTGGTTCTCTGTTGTTCCAGCTCCTTCCTCCCCACAACACACTCCACTGACAAGGCACAATGCGACATGCGGGGACTACAACAACAAGCGTGATTAGTTCAGTGGTTAGAATATTCGCTTCCCATCTTCTCCTGGACAAGCGAGGGACCCGAGTTCGAATCTCGGATCGCGCACACTAATCTCTTTCAATTTTTGCCCTTTCTTTCGCCTTTAAGTTTCCCTCGTCACAGCAGGAAACGAGGTATATACATACCTCTCCGCCTTCTCGGGACAGGAGACAAGAACACTTGCCTGCCTTTTTGTCCAACTCTAATTGAAATCACATGGTAAACTGCATTTAAAGGCTTGTTTATGACGGATGTGGCATATGTGGACGGCGTTAAGAACAGACGGTGGTTTCCCGCGAGCTTCCTGGAAACACAGCCAGCATCAGATGTGGCCCAAGCGCTTCCAGACACAATGCGACACTGGACCCTTGCTTGAGTCACCTGCAGCAGACGGCTGTCACCCAATCTGACAGCTGGTGACTGGTTGCTGACTGATCCCTTCTAACTCCCTGGCAACCCCCTGCTCCCGGTGTGAGACAGCTCTCAGTGCCTTTGATTGAGCTTTACTTTCTCGCAGTCATAATGAGCATCAACTGCGGGAAAGGGTAGCCTACAGCCCCCGCGTTTACTCCGATTATGTTGAAGCAAACCCATCGCGAACTACTTCGTTAAACCATGGCAGCTTCCGAGGCGAGCCAGGACTACGGGTCCTTTGAACTCAGCCCACTCGAACAAGTCAACCGCATCCCCAATATCCTCCCGCATGAGCGTGTCTTTCCAATCCAGATTGGCTCGGAGCTGTTCAAGCTGTCTGGGGCGTCAATCTCGTCCGATGGTATGTGTCTCTTACCCAGAGTCGATTGGCGTTGTGTCTGTCAAACATGTCGAAAACCCAGGGTTATCTCGGTCTTAATCAGGATACTGACCTCTCCCAGCTCCCTCATATTTTTCCCAGTACTTCAAGTGCCAGATGCGGCAGGCCGAAGAAAATGGACAGGACATGAACACGGCCATCCGCACGCTCTACATCGACCGCGATCCCATCACCTTCCGGGACATTTCCCTCCACCTCCAGGGTTACCACGTCCAGCCGCGCGACGCAACACACTTCGTCCGCTTATTTGCCGACGCCCAGTTCTACAGCCGTTTGTCACCCTTCCCCCGTATGAACCTCTCCCTGCTAACTGTTCCCTCTAGTCCCCAAACTCGTCTCCCAACTCTACGAAGAATCCATCTTCACCACCGTCGGCGGCCGCGAATTCCGCATCCCGCGGGATCTCTTCACCTCCGCCTCCGGTGCCGGCAACACCCCCAACTTCTTTACCCTCGGCTTCGCCGCCTTCTTCTCCTCGCCCGACGACCTCTTCCCGGGCCTCGACCGCGCGGGCCTGCTCCGCCCGCCCTCCATCGTCCCGCCCTCCGTGCCCGGGCGAAGCGCCGAGGTGTTTGCGCAGTTGCTGCATCTACTGAGGGGTTACCCGGTGGCGATTAGGGACGAAGAGCATAGGCAGGAGTTGTTGCGGGATTGTAGGTATTTTAATTTTAAAGGGTTGGAGCAGAGGCTGGTGAAGTGTGAGGTGGGGTTTAATTTGGCGAGGGAGAGAGAGGAGATTGTGGTGCGGTTGAGGGATCTGTTGAAGAGTGGGATTGGGGTGAGGGGAGCCGGAGGTGGGGATCCGAAGGCGGCGTGGGTGACGTATGCAAGGCCGTATGTGGATGAGAGGGGGTTGAAGCGGTGGTGGAGGTGGGCGGGGAGAGTATGAGATTGTGGTTTACGGATAAGGGCGGTGGTGGGGGGAGGGAGCGAGGCGAGGGCGGAGTTTTGTGGGGAGACGAAGGTGAGGTTTGGAAAGTTGTTGGAAGTGGTGGCGGGAAGTTGGGGATGGGGGGATGGGGCAGGGCTCGGGGTTGTTGCTTGGTGGTAATGGTGGTGGTGTGGGGGGGCTGGGTGCGTCGCCTTCGCCTGGAAGTTCGCTGTTGAGTGAGGATCTGATCAAGGTGGTGCTGGATCCGCAGGCGAGCGTTGTGCTGGATGGGAAGCCGTGGTATCAGGAGGTTCAAGAGGTTATGCTGTACGGGGGAGATGGCGGTTCGGAGGTCATGTCGAGGAAGAGGATGAGGATGGAGAGCCATGGCGGGCCGGAGGAATGGGTTGTCAGAACGGGACAGTGGCGATTGAGGATTCAAGGCACGAACAATGGCAAGGCGCCGTTGGAGTGTGTATTGGTGGCCGTCAAGCTGGATGCCTTCACTTCAGAGCGGGCGAGGAATGTGCAGCGGTCGTTTCTGGGGGGTTAGGGATCACATGCTCGGATGTTACAGTCTCAATGATCTGTGGCTGTTCGGGGACCAGTCGAAGAAAGTCCAAGCACCCTGCATTAAGTTGAACTGCTGACTACCTCTCAACCGATACAATGTGAGGTCAAAGCCCGAATATGTCGCTGGTGCCGGGCCTGGCATGTTGAGATTCAAGACACCTCATCATGCTCTCATCCCCCGCAAGCGTGAGGTGAGGACAACGGTGGCGGATCATCCCACCTTGCCAACGCAATTTATGGGGCCACATTGAGATTGACAAATCATCACTCTGGCAGGGGATGGCCCCTTTCTTTTTGTCTGGGCTGGGAATATCCCTCAGCGAGTCGTTTTGAATGCCCCGACAAGAGTAGTCAACACGAAATTGGAAAATGGAGGTGGACTGGCGCACTGATCTTGTGTCCCAAGAGACAGCGATTGATGTGTTCAAAGTTTGGGACATGCAACAGAAAATCGTCGGATCCCAGCAATCGGCGCCAGGGTCCAAGGGTCTAGCGACGCACGGTCCAATCTCTGACGCGAGCACCTGCCAAGTGTCGCCGCAGGAAGGGCACGATTCGCTGATAAAGCGCGGTGGAGCAACACGCGCTTGCCTGAATCGGGGACGCTACTGTCAACAACCAAATTTCCCCACCAGCGCCCAGGGTGACCGGGGTGTGTGTTCCCCAAAGGGCCAGAGGCGACCTTCAGGCTCCCGCTGAACCTCAATTTTCCACTCTCCGCCAGTCTCCCCAGTCGTCAGTCGTCGTCGTCTCCAAGGCCCCGACCTCGCCTTTCCACCAGCTTGTTTTCCCATCCACCACTCCAGAATTTCCACTCGTCGTTCCCCTCACCACCAAGATGCGTGAGATTATCAGCGTGAACGGTACGTCGCCCGAAATCCCGCTGTTTTTTTTTTTTGTGTTGGGGTGGCGCGTGATTCCCTGCTCACCGCATCTGGTGATGCTTTGGACCGCAACACAAACCTTCAGCTCCGCATCCGCGTTGTGGCTCACAAAATGCTATGCTGACATTGTTTGCGTCTAGTCGGCCAGGCCGGTTGCCAGATCGCCAACTCCTGCTGGGAGGTACGCTTATCCTGCTCGCCCTCATGCGACCGTGCCGCAACAGCTCGGACCCGAGACGGTCATGCTGGATGTTGATGATGCTGACCTGTTGCAGCTCTACTGCCTCGAGCACGGCATTCAGGTACGTTGCTGTCGTATACGCCTCTCCAACCTTAATGCTAACTGCTGCTAGCCCGATGGCTTCCTCACCGAGGAGCGCAAGGCCGCCGATCCCGACCACGGCTTCAGCACCTTTTTCTCTGAGACCGGTATGCCGCTCTCAACATCATGACGGACTCGCAGCAGCTGACTAATGGCTTCTCCTAGGCAACGGCAAGTACGTGCCGCGCACCATCTACTGCGATCTCGAGCCCAACGTCGTCGACGAGGTCCGCATCGGCCCCTACAAGGGCCTCTTCCACCCCGAGCACATGATCACCGGCAAGGAGGATGCCTCGAACAACTACGCCCGTGGTCACTACACGGTCGGCAAGGAGCTGATCGACCAGGTCCTCGACAAGGTTCGCCGGGTCGCCGACAACTGCAGCGGTCTCCAGGGCTTCCTAGTCTTCCACTCGTTCGGCGGTGGTACTGGTTCCGGCTTCGGTGCTCTTCTGATGGAGCGCCTGTCGGTCGACTACGGCAAGAAGAGCAAGCTCGAGTTCTGCGTTTATCCCGCTCCCCAGACTGCCACCTCGGTCGTTGAGCCGTACAACTCGATTCTCACCACCCACACCACCCTCGAGCACGCCGACTGCTCCTTCATGGTCGACAACGATGCCATCTACGACATCTGCCGCCGCAACCTTGGTCTCGAGCGCCCCAGCTACGAGAACCTCAACCGCCTGATTGCTCAGGGTATGTTTTCGAGGTCAAGGTCAAGTTCCAGTCCCCAGCTGACATGTTCTAGTCGTCTCGTCCATCACCGCGTCCCTTCGCTTTGACGGCTCGCTCAACGTCGATCTTAACGAGTTCCAGACCAACCTGGTGCCGTACCCGCGCATCCACTTCCCGCTCGTCGCGTATGCGCCCGTCGTCTCGGCTGCCAAGGCGGCGCACGAGGCCAACTCGGTCCAGGAGATGACCATGTCCTGCTTCGAGCCCAACAACCAGATGGTCAAGTGCGACCCCCGCCACGGCAAGTACATGGCCACGTGCCTGCTGTACCGCGGCGACGTCGTCCCCAAGGACGCCCACGCTGCCGTCGCCACCCTCAAGACCAAGCGCACCATCCAGTTTGTCGACTGGTGCCCGACTGGCTTCAAGCTCGGCATCTGCTACCAGCCCCCCCACCAGGTGCCCAACGGCGACCTGGCCAAGGTCAACCGCGCTGTGTACGTATTCTTGTCACAATATTGCTGGAAGTCATGGGCTAACGTTTTACCAGCTGCATGCTTTCCAACACCACTGCCATCGCCGAGGCGTGGTCCGCTCTGTCGTCCAAGTTCGATCTCATGTACTCGAAGCGCGCGTTCGTGCACTGGTACGTCGGCGAGGGTATGGAGGAGGGCGAGTTCTCCGAGGCTCGCGAGGATCTCGCGGCGCTCGAGCGCGATTACGAGGAGGTTGCTGCCGACTCGATGGAGGGCGACGAGGTCGAGGCTGAGTACTAGGCTTGTTGTGTGGTAGCGTGGCAAGCGTGATGGGCATTCTATCCTGCCTGGTTTGAGTACCCGGTGGATTGGCTGTCACACCAACCTCTTTTGTTAACCCATTTTGACCCGCGACATCCGTTGGCAATGGACCTTTACGATATGGGCATTC